GAGTAAATATGGAGCATCCCGGGGGGGCTGCCCCCTCTCCGAGGAGTCTGGCTGCCTCTGGAAAACTTCCAGATGGGGGAAAAAGGGACCTAGAAGCTTAAAAAAATCAAAGTTGTGCAGCGACCGGCTCCCAGAGCCCAGGATCTGCATCTGCTGGAAGATGGAGCCCAGGTCACACCAAGGAGAGACCAGCAAAGGTTGGGGACAATCTGGTCACCAGGATGAAGCCACGTGGCCAGAGCTGGCCCCTCGGTAGCCAGAGGGAGGGCTGGGCTCTGGAGGGGGTGACACTGGGGCTCCTCTGTCCCCAGCCCTGGCGAGGAGGGTGCTCAGTGGGACCGGGCACTGGGACCCAAGCTGTGTGGTGGTGTCCATACACCAGAGGGATGGGATGTCATCCAAAAGGACCTGGCCAGGCTGGAGAGGTGGGCCCAGGTGAACCTCATGAGGTTCAACAAGAGCAAGTGCAAGGTTCTGCACCTGGGCCGGAACAATCCTCGCCACCAATACAAACTGGGGGGTGAGGGATTGGAAAGCAGCCCTGAGGAAAGGGACTTGGGGGTGCTGGTGGAGGAGAAGCTGGACATGAGCAGGCAGTGGGCACTCACAGCCCAGAAGGCCAATCCCATCCTGGGCCGCATCAAAAGCTGCGTTGCCAGCAGGTCCAGAGAGGGGATTCTGCCACTTGACTCTGCTCTGGTGAGACCTCACCTGGAGTCTTGTGTGCAGGGCTGGAGCCCTCAATAGAAGAAGGACATGGACCTGATGGAGAGGGTCCAGAGGAGGGCCACGAGGATGATGAGGGGGATGGAGCACCTCTGCTCCGAGGACAGGCTGAGGGAGCTGGGGTTGTTCAGCCTGGAGAAGAGGAGGCTCCGGGGAGACCCTTTGGATCATGGAGTCCAACCATCTCCCCTACTCTACAAAGCCCTCCCCTACACCATGTCCCTCAGCACTGCATCTAAACGGCCCTTCAACACAGCCAGGGATGGGGACTCCACCCCCTCCCTGGGCAGCCTCTTCCAACGCCCGACCACTCTTTGGGTGAAAAATTCTTTCCTAATGTTCAATCTAAACCTCCCCTGTTGGAGCTTGAAGCCGTTCCCTCTCCTTCTTTCACTAATGACCTGTGAGAAGAGCCCAGCACCAACCTCTCTACAGTGTCCTTTCAAGGAGTTGTAGAGAGTGATGAGGTCTCCCCTCAGCCTCCTCTTCCTCATACTTGAGATGAGTGGCCAGAAAACAGCCACCCTGCTCCAGGTTAGAGCCACCAGGCAGCCACGGGGTGTCAGGGACCTGGCAGCCACCACAACACCCCCCAGGCATCACACGAGACAGGAGGAACAGTCTGAGCCCGAGGATTAACAAGACCAATATCGAATCCAAACACACGGCGTCATCTAAAGCTGGAGAAAAGCCTGACCCAGTTGCCCAGCGACCCAGTTCCTCAGCCAGGAGGTTTTCAGGGGGGACAGGGACAAGCCCAGGGCTGAGCACAAAACCCTAACTGTGCCCTAACTCCGAGGGTACAGGACCCACCAGGATTTAACGTGGAGGAAAAGGGGACACAGGACACGGCCTGGAGCTCCTTTGGAAAGGAAACACCCGCAGAGGGTCCAGCTGCCAAATCCCCCGTGGCTCCTGCACCGAACAAATCCCATTTCCAGGTTGTCTTTGGAGCCCCACGGAGCCAGCCTGGCCCTTCCAAGCCACCACATTCCCAGCCCTGACCCGTGTCAGACCTTTCTGGTCATTACCTTGACTTCTCTGGTACAAAAATCACCCCCTGCACCCACTGGTGTTACGCGCCGCTCGCTGGAGCGGAGCCCGTTTCAAACACCAGCACCAAAACGGGGTCCAGAGTCCAGCACAGACAACACTGAGCTATGGGCAACCTGATCCTGGGCTACGGGCAACCTGATCCTGGGCTACGAGGAACCCCATCTCGGGCTACGGGTGACACCAAGGAGCTCCAGAGAGGGAACGCAGCAGCCGCAGGATCAGATCCGTAGCACTGCTCTGCCCGTTCCTTTGCTCCTTTCCCATCTTGGTGGCATCTGCCTTGTGTGTGGGATGATTTAGTGGTTTTCCCAGGAATTTCTGTGTGTTTGAGACCCCCCCCCCCCCCCGAGGGTTGGGAGCTCAGAAGGTGCTGGCACAGAGGAGGGAGCCCGTCGCGGCGCCTGCCCGACTCCAGCTTCTCCATCGAGAGCAACCGATCCAACAAACCAGTTCTGCCTGCACGCACAGCACCAGTAACCACCAGTAACCACCAGCTGTTTGGCACGTGCATAATTAACCTCCCCACTAATGACCCCAGGAGGAGCAGCGCTCCCTCCCCACCAAAAAAAACACCACCATCAGCTGGGACGTGACTCGATGCCTCCTCCCCGGGGCCTCCGATCGCTCCCGCGGCACACGCAGGAAGCAGAGAGGAATTTGGAGTAATTCAGGCTCCACTCCCAGGAAGAGCCACCCAGATGGCAGCTCTGGTTGTGGAGAAGAGCCCAGTTGAAGCCCAGTCTGAACTGGGAGGGCAGCTGAGCCCCATTCCCAACTCAAAGGGAGCTCCATTCTTCCCTACAGACCCTGCAAAGGGCTCCCACCCTCTTCCAGGGGATCTCTGAGCTCGTGTAATCCTGTGCAATTAATTTAATTAATTCCTTCAGCAGGAGCAGACCCCAATGGATGCCCCCACGCTCGCTGTGGTCCCTCCTGTACCCAAAATAACCAACATCCCCCTGGCCCAGAGCTCCTCCTGAGCAGGCATGTTTCTTCCAAGTTCACAGAGACCGCCCCAGCGTTTCAGCACGTGCATTTTTGCTTCAAGAGGCCACAGGCAAAACACAAAAAAAAAATAATATTACTCATTATTTGCTAATTCAAAGCCAAAAGCAGGGAGAGTACAAATCTAACAGCTCCTCCTGTCAAGATTTTTACCCCGGTGTTGATCTGACATTTAGCCCACGTCCAGAGACCAAAGGGGAAAAAAAATATTAAAAAAACCACCCCTTTTTCTATAAAGCTTTTGCAAGTCAAAGGAAGATTTGGCCCAAGCACACACAGGGAAATGAGATCAAAAGGAAAGTGGGGTTAAACAGTCGCTCTGGGCTGGAGAATAGGAGGAAAAAACATCAATCCTGGGCCCTACCCACCTCCCAGATCCTGCTCCGGAAGCTGCTGGAAGGACAAACACCTTGATTGTCCTATTGCTTAACCCCTGCGCGGTCAGGCGCGAGGATTTGGCCACCAGCAGGGACATTCCTTATTCTGGGACATTTTTTTGGGGGGGTCACTGAACCCCTTCCTCGATAGGAACACCCCCAGGCACCACGTCTCAGGCCAGCAGTGCCTCAGAACCCCCCCCGAGGTGAAACCACGCTGCCGGTCCCAAAAAAACCCAACCAACCCACACCCCCCAGGCTGAGACCCAACAAACTCACCCCTTTTTTGTGCTTTTTAAGGCATCGGAAGGATTTAAAGTGAAAGAGGCTGGAGGGGGGAGAGAGAGAGAAGTTCCTGGGGAAACCAGCCTTCTCCAGAAAGCCCCCCAACTCCAGCTGCTCCCCAAGAGGGATCCCAGCTGGGAGGACCCCCGACACCACCAGGATGGGGGGGTGAGGGGGGGGAGGTCCTAACCCCCCTAAACCAGAGGATTCCAGGAGCTTGGTGAAACCTCCACGCTCAGACCCACCTTGGGAGCACCGCTGTAGGAGCCCAGCCCGGTTGCCCCAGGGAAATCACAGAATCATAGAATGGTCCAGGTTGGAAGAGACCCTTGGGATCATGGAGTCCAACCATCTCCCCTACTCTACAAAGTCCTCCCCTACACCATGTCCCTCAGCACTGCATCTAAACGGCCCTTCAACACAGCCAGGGATGGGGACTCCACCCCCTCCCTGGGCAGCCTCTTCCAACGCCCGACCACTCTTTGGGTGAAAAATTCCTTCCTAATGTTCAATCTAAACCTCCCCTGTTGGAGCTTGAAGCCGTTCCCTCTCGTTCTGTCACTAATGACCTGGGAGAAGAGACCAGCCCCAACCTCTCTACAGTGTCCTTTCACGGAGTTGTAGAGAGTGATGAGGTCTCCCCTCAGCCTCCTCTTCCTCACACTAAACAGTCCCAACTCCCTCAGCCGCTCCTCAGACGATTTGTTTTCCAGCCCCCTCACCAGCTCTGTTGCCCTCCTCTGCACTCGCTCCAGCAGGTCCAGAGGGGATTCTGCCCCTTTCCTCTGCTCTGGTGAGACCTCACCTGGAGTCTTGTGTGCAGGGCTGGAGCCCTCAATAGAAGAAGGACATGGACCTGATGGAGAGGGTCCAGAGGAGGGCCACGAGGATGATGAGGGGGATGGAGCACCTCTGCTGCGAGGACAGGCTGAGGGAGCTGGGGTTGTTCAGCCTGGAGAAGAGGATGCTCCGGGGAGACCTAAGAGCAGCCTTCCAGTACCTGAGGGGGGGCTACAGGAAGGCTGGGGAGAGCCTGTTTAGAAAGGGCTGCAGTGACAGGACGAGGGGCAATGGCTTCAAGCTGGAGGGGAACAGCTTGAGACTGGAGATGAGGAGAGGGTTCTTCACTGGGAGGGTGGTGGAGCACTGGGACAGGTTGCCCAGGGAGGTGGTTGAGGCCCCTTCCCTGGAGATATTCAAGGGGAGGCTCGATGGGGCAACCTGGTCTAGTTGGGGGTGTCCCTGCTGACTGCGGGGGGGTGGGACGAGATGCCCTTTGGAGGTCCCTTCCAGCCTGGACAACTCTATGATTTTATGATTCTTTCAGATAAATTTGACTTCAAAGTTCAGGGCAGCAGCCGAGGGAAAGCCCCCAGAGCACACAAAAAGCAACACCCCATCAAACTGCTGATGTAGCTCCAACCGCTCACGCGTCGGAGGCTCCACGTGCGTGTGAGGGGGGGGGGGAAGGACTTAAAACACACACACACACACACACACACACACACACAGTGCACAGATGGGGAAAGTTGTGAGGGGGATTTGATTTACCTTCCGCGGCAGAATTCCTCCCGGAGCGGCGACGAGGCAGGGCTGGGCTGGGGTTGCTCTTTTCAGGGAGACGCTCCCAATGGCCCATCTTTTCCTTTTCCTCTTCTACAGGATAAAAAGTGGTTTTTCAACGGCCAGGAGGCACAGGTCATACGGGCAGAGAGGGCAGATCTAGGCACAGGGGAGGGGAAAGAAGAAAAAAAGGAAGATGAGTGTGGTAAAAACCGAGTTGGGGGGGTGCACCGAGCCCTTCACCCCCCGCTCGGGGCCAAGATGAAGACACCTCTCCTCCTCCTCCACACACAAAACCCCAGGATTTTGGCCACACACGAGGGAAATCTGGATTTCCCAAAGAGCTTTTGAAAATCTCCTGAGAGGCTGAAGAACCTGCGCCGAGCCCCGGGCACCCGTGGTTTGGGGGGGGACACTCCCCCCAAGGATGAGGGTCTGAAGTCGGTCACAAAAACAGAGAGTCACCACCACGCTCCTCACTTTATCTCCCAACCACAGAAAAAACCTACTCTGCTTTGCCTTTTAGGGATTTTTATTATTTTTTAATTTAAATGGGAGCAATAAGGGTCTCTCTGAGCCCCCCCAGCCAGTCGTGGGGAGCCCTCACCCATCCCAGTCCCCCCTGAACCGACGACCGAAGCGCTGGGTTTCCTCCCCACGACACTTTGTTTGGGAAATTCCAGTTTTGGGGCAGAAACTCGCTGCCCCCAAACCCCCCCTTTGCCCCCCAGCACTTCCAGCACCGTGGAATTGCAGCATTTTTGCCCAGTAGGTGAAGCCCAGCGCTTTGAACTTACGCAATCCTGCTAAAAATAGTTTCCCCAAATGCCACCTTTAGGATCTTCTGACACAAATCCAAGTCTTGGGTGGTTTTTTTGTTGGTTTTTTGGTTGTTTTTTTTTCTTGCAACTCCTCTGCTCGCCCCAACGTTGTGAAAACTGGCAGCAGGGGAGCCTGAACGGCCCAAAAAAAACCCAAAAAACCTGCTTTGGTTTTTAGCTGCGACGAGGAGAAAAGCAGCTGAGGAAGAGCCCCCGCGCTCAACCGGGCACAGGGACCCCCGACACCACCGTTATGGTTACAACAAAAAAGCTTATCTGCTGCTGTTGCCTTTTTGGAGATTTTTTTGGGTTTTTTTTTTATATTTATCGCTTAAAACTGCCTTAATACAGACCCTTGAGGTGTGACAGAGCCCCGGCTGCTTTGGGAAACCCGGTGGCAAATAAAGCCTCGTCCCATTTAATTAGCGACTTCCCTCCGGTTCCTGCCCCTCCAGGAGGGGGGGAAGGGGCACGTTCCCCAAATTCCTTCCTGCCCG